TTGGGCTCAGTAGCACAATGTGAAAAGAGCCTCGGGCAGGGGCCGTGCCCAGTGCATCCGAAGGCCTTTGCTTTCTCCGCAGGAACAAGAGAATTACCTTCTCATAATCTCACTGAAGGGTGAGAAGTATCACACAAGAACTGGGATTTATTTTATCAATGTGCTTTTTTTTAGAAGGCCCTCTATGGAATATTGGACTGCTGTACTGTCCATATCAATCAAACCATTCTCTTTAGTCTTCATCCAGCAGGAGTATCCAGTTTTATGTTTCAAGAAGACTGTTCGGGAATTCCACCTAGAAGGGGGAGGGGAAAATAAAAGGAAATAACTTGCATCCACCATCAACACTGTTCGCTTACTGTACCACAGTTCCAACCCTAAAGCAGTGTAGGAGTTATTTTAATTAAGGCTGTCTTGGAACAACATTACACAGGATAACCTGTTCTCTTTACAAGATTTTAAAAACTGTTTAAAATTCATAGTATGAGCCTATTCAAAGGAAACAGCCTTAATTCTAAAATAAGTAGTTTCTCAGTTGTTTAGCCAACCAAATTAGAGGTACAAAGCCTGAATCCCCAAGGTTGCATATGGCATCCCCAAAACTTTGACTGCACCCTCCAGAATTCTTCAACGATTGCCACTAAACTGTAATTTGCAATGTGACAATAGAGGGATATACTAAATACACTAAAATGTTTCATTTTAATTCAAACAAACTTAGTTTTTGAGCAGCTGCAGGCCACTTTTTATGACTGAACATTTAATAATGTGAGACCTCCAACCCCTCAAAGGCAATGTGTGGCTCTACTAAAGATTGTGCAGTCTTGTGCTAATCAAACTACTAGATCCAGAAAGGTGGTTCTACTTGTCGTTACAGTTTCCTTTGTCTGTGTGCTCTTTAAATCCAATCCCTCCACAGAGGGATCTGTATCAAGATAAAAGTTGCTGGGGTTCTCAATTTTTCTTACTGAAATCCCAGCAGTCACTTTATTGAACAATCTGAATCCAAACATGATAAAACGGAAACCCTGCTTCTTCTAAAGATAAGCATTCATATATTTACAGACATTATTTATAGTAAGTTTTAAGACAATTACATTTGACTTAAATGACTTACCCCTTATCCCACCTAAACTACTTCCAAGTCCCAAACCACCAGCTTGAGAATAATGAACATAATAAATTTATATTTTTATGAATGTAAATTCTTTTCTTCACATACAAATTCTGCCTCTACTTCACATCTCTTATATTCAAATTTGGAGGACCAAAAACAACCCATTTTCATCATATTGTTGAAAATCAGGAAAAGAGCAAAGAAAAAGCCAACAGCCAAGCCTATTTCTCAATTCTAAGCTATTCTAGCTATGGGACATTCACAGGAGGGGGTGGCCACAAAGGATATTGCATGAATCATGACTTCATTATGTAAATGACATAATTCACAAGTACAGTGGTACCTCGGGTCACGAACGCTTCTGTTCACGACCAATTCGGGTCATGAACAGCACCGTTTGCAAAATTGTGCTTCGGTTCGCGACCGCCGGATCGGGTGACGAACAGGATCCACGGCCATTTTCCCTGCCGTGACACGTGGTCGTGGCTTCCT